TGGTTAAAAAGGCCAAAGATAAAAAGGTTTCTTTTTTTTTTTTTTTTCCTTTTTTTTGTCTATGAAGTTGCTGTTTATTTTTTTGGCCTGTTTGATGTATGTGTGAAACAATGTTGTCCAACAATAAACCGGAATTTTATTTTGCTGAGTTGTTCTAACAAAAAAAAAAACAAAAACAAAAAAAAACATTTTTAGTTGTAGATAGACACAATGACTTTATTTTATATGTGTATTTTTTTGTGTGGTACTGAGGATAGAACGCGGTGCCTCTTACACATTAGGCAGGCGCTCTACCACTGAGCTACAACCCCAGCCCCAGTTGTTTTCTCTTTGATCATACTTCTGGGGTCAAATCTAAGAACTCTGCCTAGTCCTGTGTTTTAAAAATTGCCTATATATTTTTTTGCTTGCTTTTTAAAATCTGTGTTTTGTCTTGACGTGTTTTTATTTTTCTTATTCCTGTTACCTCCTTCATTTTAAAATGCTTTCCCTGAATTCCATATTGCTTTAACTTGAAGAARTCATGGAAAGGTTCATCAGAATCATTCATTACAGTTGGGGTCTATTTTAGAATATGTAAACTATCAATCTTCTCAGGAAGGAACTAGATCTGTTAAGACAAACTTTGTGATCTCTCTGTTCATGGGAAGTGGGTACTGAAACTGCATTTAAAAATTATGTGTAGTTTTAATATGGATGTGTTCTTTCTCTTTTTCTTGAGTTATGTTTTTTTTTTTTTTTTGGTCAAGAAAAAGTGTACAGCTGTGGAGACATACCTATTTCTAAGACCTCTGCATAGGAGGTAACCCATCTCTCTTCTAAAGCTTTGGAGTGGACAGTAATCCAAAACCCTTCCCTCCCTCCCTCCAAATACTTTCTTTAATAATGAAGAGAGTTTTACTGAGAGGAATTTACATAGAAATCTAGATGCTTATGCTATTAACTTTTTGGGTAATAATGAAGCATTTCATGCCTTTTATATGTTAGAAAAGCCTTGTTGGAAGAAGTTTATCACTTGAAGTGCCATGTATTCTTTGATGGTAGAGTTGTGTGTTTTTATCTCATCTTGAAAAAAAAAACAATAAAGGAGTTTTAGGTTCTCTTCTATTTAATAAGCTATGTTTTGTTTTATATTCTGCCTTCTTCTTTCTGCCTTTTATCTCTTCCGTTGTTTTCTTGGGTGTATTTATAGGTCTCAAAAATAATGACACATCTATTTTCTCAGCCTTAAGGTGTTCTATGTATTATTGGGATTCAGAATGTAGCTGGAGGCCTGAGGATGCCTATCCAGGGGTAGCTTGTCACTTGGTAATATCCTGCTGACTTTGTGTGTCCCTTAAATTTCATAATCATGAGAATCTCATTATGGTTCAAAAGACTCATTAGTTGACAGAAGCCCTACCTGAAGTTTCTTTCTCAGATTCATTATTTTCTCAGATTGGACTAGATAAGTATCAGGTTTCTCTCAGCTCAGAGATTCTGTCATTGAATCTATTTCTCCTTAATATTATGTAAAGGACATTAAAAAGTCAGAATGCATAACTATTATAGTTCAGTAAAGGAAAAAGAAAGCAGTTCCTACCCGGTCTTTTCTATCATGTATATAAATCTGTGCAGTTACAGTGCAATTTGGTCTTTTGGAGACTTGAGCATTTGTACTAATATAAAAGGCCACCTACCTGTGAAGTACGGGGTGATGACTTTATTTCCTTAGGTGAGGCAAATTATTTTGATAATATTTCATCTTCCTTTCAACATAGCAGTAAGTCCTGATTGCACAGAACTATAAAGGTTTGAGAAAGTGGGCTTTGATAGACCCTGCACAACTCTTTAAAAATGTGTTATTATGTATTATTTTTGCGTTTCAGTAGTAAACATTAAWTTTTTTACCCTCCTCYACCACTTTTTGCAGGCATACTACCCTCTTTGCAGGCAATGCACTTTGAGAGTCTAGTTCATGGTGACTTGCTTTTTAAAGCTTACCACTGATATCTCTGGAAGTTGTATTTTTTTTTTCCTGGGGATAGGGAGGGGTACTGAGGATTGAACTCAGGGGCACTCGACCTCTGAGCCACATCCCTAGCCCTATTTTGTATTTTTATTAGAGACAGGGTCTCACTGAGTTGCTTAGCACCTTACTTTTGCTAAGGCTGGCTTTGATCTCAGCCTCCTGAGCTGTTGGGATATCAGGCGTGAGCCTTCCGCCTGGCTAGAAGTTGTATTTCTTTTGGGAAAGTTCATTAAGCAGCAACTGAAGATAAAAATTTAAGGTGTGCTAAGTCAATGGTAATAMTTTTATACACCATATTTCATAATAGTGCACTTTCAGAGAACATAAAGCTTTAACTAGCTTAGATAATTGTTGGTTTTATTATTTGATAATAGAAAATAGTACTTCTGGGAAATTATGTAATTTTTACCCCCCTCTTACCCAGTGCTGGATAAAAAGAGAACCTGGTTCCTACTGGAGGCTATGCCTGCGAACGTATTGCTTCTGATTAACTGGTTGATGTTTATATACATTTCCTTATCCTTATAATATGTACTAGGCCTTCCATGTGGTATGCAAAGCCCTAAAACATAAACCAAACAATGAACCTTGTTGTCTAGACAAGTCTCCCCTATCTTTCCCCTCAGAATAATACTTCATGATAAAAACACAAAAGTATGTGAATGGTAACTAAAAAACCAGCTTCCTTTTAGAAAACCACTGTGATTTGCATAAACCACTTGAGTGTCTGGCCAATGATTATCTGCTTTGTCAGTCCCTAGGGCCCTTTAACATTAGTTATTTATATTTTTATAGATAAGGAAAGTTCTAAATTTGAAGATGAATACTTTTAAAATTCTTCCAGTAATARTTTATATTCTAAAGTCTTAGAAAGTCAATAAAATCTGTATTGTTATAACCTTATGACCATATAGATAAAATTAAAGACCTTGAAGGATTTTGAATTTGTGTTGKGCATAACCTATTAATTGTTTGCCTTTGGTATTATTGAGTTGTGTTAAGGGTAAATACTCAGAACATACCAATGCACAAATTGGAAAGCAAGTCTAAAAGTATTTCTGTCATTACTGTTAAAATATCCTCAAGAGCCGGGTGTGGTAGCATATGCCTATAATCCCAGCAGCTCGGGAGGACGAGGCAGGAGGATTGGGAATTCAAAGCCAGCCTCAGCAAAAGCAAGGCGCAACTCGGTGAGACCCTGTCTCTAAATAAAATACAAATAGGGCTGGGGATGTGGCTGAGTGGTTGAGTGCCCCCGAATTCAATACCCGTACCAAAAAAAAAAAAAAAAAAAAAAAGGAGTAGTAGAAACCACAGCCTGGCTACTTCTTTTGATGTTTGTTCATTGAAGCACACTACCAGAGATGGCTCAAGGAAGAGATTAATATTATGCATTGCTGGAGTTTTGCTGGGCTCGAATTCTGGAAAAGTACATCGATGTTAAAATTCTTATAATTAGGTACACGTCCTACTGATAGTGAAATAATAGCCACCAATGAGATTATTTATCAGTATTTATTATCTAGCAACTGCAAACATAACTGAGTAAACTTCATTGCTGAAGCCTGGCATTGTTACAGATAAATTTGCATAAGCCATAACTGATGAGTTTTCCTGTCTAATTTTCCAGGAACCAATAGTTTGAAAGTGTCTTTCAATTTAAATTAGTATCTACATACACATTTTATTTCACCCCAGTCTTTTACATGTTTTATCTGAGACTGTAATGCATGGGGAACTATTTGGATTTATCTTATGTAACATCAGTACATTCCATGTCAGAGTGATAACAGTCATGAGAAAGCTTTGTGGAAGAAAAGGACAGAATACTAAGACTGGTCCTGTCCTCCATCAGTAGTATCATCATCATCATCATATTCATCATGGTCATTATCCCTAACATATCTTGTTTAATCATCATAGTAATCCTGTGAGGAACATGTAGCATCACAATTCCTTATTACTTTTCCAGAAATTTTTTGGAGTAAAGCAAAGGCAATCAGTGCACAAACCATCTATTATACAAATGTGCAGTGGGGTCTGGGAAAGCACCTCATATGCAGCCCAGTAGGATTTCTTTAGGGAAATGTGAATAGTTGTACTGAGTGGAATAAACAAAAGCCATAAATACTCTCATGTTATTTCAGATTAGTTCGCCCCACCATATGAGTTCAATGGGAGGTTAAGGCATTTGGAGAGAAACTGAACTTTGAGCTGGGATTTGACAAAGAAATGTATTCCAGTGAATGGAATGAGAAGATCCAGAAAGGACAGTGTGGCCCAGTTTTAATGTATGAAAAGATGTCAGTTACAAGAAGTAAGGATTGAAATTATTCAGGACAAGCTCACTAACTCAGGGCCCAGTTGGGCTAGGGTATAGAGGTGATAAAGTTGTCCAAAGACTACTCTRGAATGTCAGCGTTTCCAATTCCTGGATGTGTGAAAGCACAGTCAAGTCACCTGTTKGTCAGCCACAGTAAAAGTGAGTCACAGGATAGAGTTACGCATAGTAAGTGCATAAGGACTTGATTTCCGGGATCAGACTCATAGCACTGACACTTCTTTCTACCGGCTGTCTCTGTGACCTAAGCGAGAATTATGATGATTTTCATTAAAGTGCTCAGAACAGAACCTGGTACACAGTAAGTGCTAAATAAGTCACTAATAAAATGTGCTCATATTGTTGACATGGGATGAATGGTTAGTTGCTATACCCTTTAAAGTTACTCTCACTTTAAAAGACTTTGAATTTCTAATTGTGTAGTTATGTGACAATATTCTTGAAAATTAAGAAGATGGAAAGGAGGAAATTGAAGCTAAACACAAATGTGCAGTTATATGAATAAAACTGATTTATTGACTAGAATTTTTTCTGTCCTTTTGGGGCCTTGGAATCTTGCATTGCCCGTCCAGGGTATTTTCTGAGCAGCGGGGACTGCATGACTCTCTGTTCATGTTTTACTTTGTGTCTTAGGTTAAGTGGCCTCGTGGACTGGGATGCCTAGCCAGAAATTGGGACTGGAGATAATGGATGAAGATCAATTAATGGAAGAAGTCTTGGATAAGTTTGTGAATTGTCATGAGCAAACATATGAAGAGTTTCGGAGCACTTTTACTCATCTTTCAAAAGGTCAGATGGAGAAGTAAACTTTCTACAGCAGTAGAGATAAAGAATTTTATTATATGTCTTTGTGTTTGCTGCCTTTTAAGAAGGACCATTTTATGAATACTCTTTCTTTTCCTTTATCAGGTAATTTTTATTAGGGTATCTGTGACAGATGTGTGTAAATACCAGTGTCTTTCTGTATCCGAGAGCTGTGTCATGGAGTCAGAGCCATTGAGTTTGATAACTCAAATTGCCCTAGGAAATTATTTAATATAATCCCTTCATTTTATTTTTAAAGACATGCAAATGCAAAGAGTGGAGGTTGTTAAAAGCATTTAAAAAACCTAAGATACACTACAATGCCTTTGGATCCTGGTGTCACCATTTGATGACAATGTGACATTGGGGGGTAGTTGCTGAGTAAAGGGGGAATAATAATAATATACCTGTCCCAAGGGTTGATAAGGGCTTGTTGAGAGCCTTGTAAAACTCAGCATAGTGGTTAATGTATAGTAGGCACTTTATGAATTCCAGGTATTGTTAATGTTGTGATGTTGRTGATGATGCTGTGGCTTCTATAGACAGGAAACAGCCTTTTAGCCCTGCTGTAACAACCTGAAGCCTAAAGGTCAAACCCCTGCTGTGTTTCATGACATGCTTTGTTGCTTCACACAGTGTCATTTTTTAATTGCGMTAGCGCTTAAAAGTTGGACAGTTTTATAGGAAAACCTTGATTTGTGTCTTTTTCTTTTTTTTTTCAGATCAAGTGAGGATATCTGTTATCTATTATTTCCCTTATGGTAATATGAGCTGAAGGTCAGGAGCCTTAGCCTTGTGAGCTCTCTAGTATATACACTCTTGGGTGCTCAGTCTAAAAATGTGTGCACATGTTGTTTGCTTTTTCATTTAAGCGGCTTTCATGGGCACTGGAGTTGTAATCTTTATTTTAGGTTCGGCCTCAGGTTRTCATTGGTTGGCTGTGAATCTTTGTTCTTTTTGGACCATTGATCTGCATTTGAAGTGAGGTCATTGGTTCTCCACCTAGACTGTCCAGAGGAGCTTTAAGACCATATTTATACTAGAGCCCACTCTAAAGCTCAGCTGGGGCTAAGGACTCAGTATTTTGTAAAAGTTCCTCTAGTAATTCTGATGTGCATGTAAAGTTGAGAACAGGGGTTTCATAATCTCTGAAGTCATGACAGTTTTAGGAAACCTTATCTCATAATTATAAGTCATGATTCCTATGCTCTAAGCAGATGTAAAAGAAAGATAGTTATCATGAAGAAGAGGAAATGTGATGTTAGTCTGTTTTATCATGCAGGATACAGGTTAATCTAAAAATCTGAAATGATTTAAAATTCAAAACTTTTTGAGCACTGCTATGATGTCACAAGTAGAAAACTACATACCTGTCCTCATCTGATAAGTCACGGTCAAAACACCAGTGCCCTAAAAGTATGGTATAAAATTACCTCCTAAAGTGTCTATGAAACATGACTGGATTTTTGTGTGTAGATATGAGTTTCATCCTCAAGATAATGTCATTACTGTCTATTTCAAGTATTCCAAAATCTGAAAAACCTGAAATTCAAAGCACTTTTGCTTCTAAGCATTTGGAAAAGTGATATTCAAGCTCTAAAATAACATCGATACCTGTTTTGTTTAAACTAAAAAAAACAAAACAAAACAAAAAACAAACAAACAAAAAAAACCAAACAAATCCAAAAACAAAAACAAAAAACATGGAATGTGGGTTTTATTTACTCTTATGGGTCATAGAGATTTTAGGCATGTTAAGATAGTTTTGGGGATGTCAGAGAATGATGTGTTTTGATATGATATGCGGGTCAAATCTGGAGAATGACCAAATCTCTTTTTAGTTTATGGACTTAGGTTTAGGAAGGTGCTTCTTTTTTCTGAGCCTTGATTTCCTTCTTACCTTCTGGACCCAAATATGGCAGTATGAATGACTGGCTGGGGTGGGGTGGTGGAAACAAGGGTAAAACTGGTAGGATGAATGAATTTTGGATTGCCAGTGGCATTGTGAAAATCCAGATTATCTTGGAAATTATTTATGTGTCCCACTTCATTTTTGTAAGGTGGAATAGTAAACTCTTATTACAAGGACTTTGATAGTGTAAGGGGTTACACTGTGTTTATCTTTGGGGTCAGAGTCTAGTCTGTTTTCATTTTTTTTGTGTGGTTACTGCATGCAGAGAAAGCAACTGTTGCAGATGTGGTAACTTAGGTTTTTTTTTTTAATTTTATTTTGGGTAGTTGGAGATGGACAGCATGCCTTTATTTTATTTGTTTATTTTTACTTGGTGCTAGGATAGATCCCAGTGCCTCACATGGATAAAATAAATTATAAGACATATTAGAATATCGCAGGCAGATTTTTTTTTTCCTATTGTTTGTAAAGATATTACAAGGCAAGTACTCTGCCACTAAGCTGTGGCACAAAGCCTGGTAACTTTGTTTTGAGTTTGGTTTGGGGCCCCAACTTGAGCTGAAATAGATGATGATGCGAGTCACATAAACTGCATCTCCAAGCACAGTTGTTTTTCCTTTCAAAATATCCCTAGGCACCAGTTCACATTATAAACTAATGACCTGAAAAAATTCCTCTTAAAGCACAAAGAATTGTGAGTGAAAAAATATTTTAAATCAGTGTCTGTGTTTCCTCTGAAACATTTAAACACCTTCTGCAAAACCAAATAGGACTTGGGGACAGGCCTAACTAAGAGTTGAATAAGAACCTGGAGAACTCATCTAGGTTTACATGATCAGTTTACTTGAGAAACACATTAAGGTTCATTCTTCAAAGCCCYTCCCCTTCCTTCCAGGCCCTTCATTTGTCTGAATATTTGTTTGTTTTGCTTATATGTAGTGAATCTTCTCTCTGTTATCACCATGCATACTTATGTACATTTCCTTAGTAACTTATGTTTCTCAAGTCCATTACCATTTCTACTGATTGACTGTTCTATTTATTTTCATAATAGTTGTATGCCAGAATGCTTATGAGATTCATTTTCTTTCCAAGAGTGTTAAAAGGGTCAGTAATCCTATTAAAAACATTTCCCTAGAAAAAATTAAATTATAGCCTTATAGAAAGAAATTCACATTACTGCTTCAGATTCTTGGAAAACAGTTGGAAACTGTTAATATTGCAACATAATTCTCACTACAGTACATTTATGTTGATAGTGTTTTGGAATTTTTTCTTTTATAAAACAGCTCTAGGTTTTTTAAGTCCTGGTACATATTTGAGAATAAATATACTGTTACATCAAAATATTTAAAGAGATATTAATTATTAAACAGTTATAATTGAATTCTTAGTAGTGTCTTCAGTTCAAGAGGATAAAATAAATTATAAGACATATTAGAATATCAGCAAGCAGATTTTGTTTTTTTCCTATTGTTTGTAAAGATATTATATTATTGACATTGTGGATAAATGTAAGTATCAAGTTTCAGTTTCAATCTTCTGTGTCTCAGTTTCTTTGTGAACATAATTTATAGGTCTTTTCAGAGTATCTGTGGAAAAAGACTTTTTTCTCTTTGTCACATTTCTATCATTTTGTTTTTAGGTTCTAAAAACACAGGTGTGACTATTTCTTTTTGATTTTTTTGTTAATGCATTTACTAATTTATTTATTCATTAATATTTTGGGTGGGATACCACTGAACCAACTTCAGGTCCTAGATCCTAAGACATTAAGTATAGCACAGGAAGGTTTGACGGGTAAGAGCAGAAGCTGACCGATGTTTAAATGCCTCTGCTGGGTCATGGTTCTGTTGGTTTGATACTGAGATATGTGTCTCTCTATATCTGTATATGCTTTTATATAATTCCACTTTTAAAACAGTAAGTATTCTGGATGAAGATGTAGCTTTGGTTTAGTAGGTTGAGAATTACTTCTAAACTGCTGAAGGAAAGAGGCAATTTCTTTTAATATCCTATCTCAGGGTTATCACATGAACTGATTTTGGAAGCAGTTACTCCCAGCTTTTAGAGTGCTAGCTACCATTCATGTTGCTGTCTCACAGAAACTGTGCAGTTAAGAAGCTGGTGACTTAGAAGTTGACATTAAATCTTTTTAACTYCATTTTGTTACATACGGCAACTTTGGGGTATTCTGTAGAGCTGTGGTTTGAATGTGGCTTGTCCCCTACAGGTTTATGTGCTAAAGGCTTTGTGCCCTGTGTAGCAGTACAGAGGAGTAATCTTTTAGAGGTAGGGCCTAGTGAGGGAATTAGATCATTGGGAATGCTGTTCTCTGAAGGCATAATACTGGTCGGTCTTATGAAGTGAGTTCTGGTGAGAATGTTTTGTCATAAAAGGCTCACTGTCCCCTCCATGGTCTTCAGTGCCCTCTTTTACCTTTGATCTCCCCCTCTTGCACATGCTCCCACTTTGATGCCATCTTCCATGATATCCTTATGAGATCACTAGCATCATCCTCAGCAGATGATGGCATCATACTCTTGCATTTTCAAAACTATATGCTCAATAAAGCTCTTTTTCTAACTTATCAAGCCTCAGTGTTATCTTGTTATAACAAAAGAAAACACACTAATTCAGAGGGTTACAACAGTCTTCAATTCTCGGTCTCTTTCTCTTTCCCTTTCTCACACATATGCACCCTATTATCATTGYCCTGATCTTGTGCTTTAGGCTACATGGTTAATTTTCATCAAAGTTGCCTATTTTACCAACTAAGTCAACCTAAAATAGTTTGGAAATTAAAATCAATCTACTGTGATTTTATGATTAATTCTTAAATGAGTCTTTTGTCTTTTCATTCATTTCTTTCTTAAAATATCTGGGATTCAGTTTCCCAAGTGATTGTATGAGTTTCTGTAATAGCATATAGTGCAGTATTATATTCATTGTTGCATTTATCAACTTTAACCTATTTTAGTATGTGTAGATCAAAGATTTTTTGTTTTAGATTTGATGTGTAATTTTATTTCTGGTTTTCTTTGTGCTGTTCTCATTTCACTTTTAGTACCTT